AAGAGTGTGGCTTGTCTTATTTCTCTCTCTGTAATTTTGTTGTTAGTGTATAGGAATGCTATTTATTTCTGAGTATTGATTTTGTATCCAGCTATATAATTGAATTTATTTATTATATCTGGGAGTCTTTCAATGGAGTTTAGGGAGTCTTCTATGCAGAGTATCATGTCATCTGGAAACAATGATAATTAAACTTCTTCTTTTCCTATCTTTACCTCTTTTATTTCTCTCTCTTGTCCAATTGCTCTGGCTAGGACTTCCAGTACTATATTAAATAGTAGTGGTGATAAAGGACATCCTTGTCTTGTGCCTGATTTTAAAGGAAAGGCTTTCAATTTTTGGCCATTTGGTATGATACTGGCTGTTGGTTTGTCATAGATGGCCTTTATTACATTGAGGTAAAGACCATCTATTCCAATTTTCTGTAAAGTTCTTATCATGAATGCATTCTGGGCCTTATTGAAGGCTTTTTCTGCATCTATAGAAATGATCATGTGATTCTTACTTTTGGCTTTATTGATGTGGTGGATTACATTTATTGATTTACGTATGTTGAACCATCCCTGCATGCCTGGGATGAATCCCACTTGGTCATGGTGTATAATCTTCTTGATAATTTGCTGCATCCTATTTGCCAATATTTTATTGAGGATTTTTGCATCTGTGCTCATTAGGGAGATTTCTCTATAGTTCTCTTTTTTAGTTGGGTCTTTCTCAGGTTTTGGTACAAGAGAAATATTTACTTCCAAGAATGACTTAGGAAGGATTACTTCCCTTTCAATTTCATTGAATAGTGTGAGTAGTGTTGGCATTAGGTCTTCTTTGTATTTCTTATAGAATTCTGCAGTGAATCCATCGGGGCCTGGGCTCTTCTTTGTAGGTAATGACTTAATTACATTTTCAAGTTCATTAATGGAGATTGGGTTATTCAGCAGTTTTACATCCTCTTGATCTAGTTTTGGTACTTCATATGTTTATAGGAATCTATTTCTTCTGTGTTTTCAAACCTTTGAGAGTAGAGGTTTTTGAAATAGATGTTGATGATCTTCTGTATTTCTGTAGAGTCTGTAGTGATTTCACCTTTTTCATTTCTTATTGCATGAATTTGAGCTTTTTCATCCCTTTTTAAAATAAGGTTGGTAGGGGCTTATCGATTTTATTTATTCTTTCAAATAACCAACTCTTTGATTCGTTGAGTCTTTGGATTGCTTTCTTAGTCTCTATTGCATTAATTTCTGCTCTGATTTTTATAATTTCCTCTCTCCTTTTGTCTTTGGGCTTGACTTGCTCTTCTTTTTCTAGCTGTTTGAGGTGTAGCATCAAGTTATTTATTTGTATTCGTTCTGTTTTCCTGATGTGGGAACTCAGTGCAATAAATTTTCCTCTGAGGATGGCTTTCATTGCATTCCACAGATTCCAGTAAGTTGTATTTGTGTTTTCATTTGTTTGTAGGTATTGTTTAATTTCTCCTTTAATTTCCTCTGTGACCCACTGATTACTCAAGAGTGTTTTATTCAGTTTCCATGTGTTTGTGGGATTTTTGCAGTATCTTTTATCATTAATTTCTAATTTCAAAGCACTATGATCCGATACAATGCAAGGGATAATTTCAACTCTTTTGCATATGTTTAAATATGTTCTGTGAGCTAATATATGGTCTGTTTTAGAGAATGACCCATGTACTGCTGAGAAGCTTTCTTTAGACCTGGCTGTTAAGGAGTTAGGATTTCTTATTAAACTCACTGCTCTTAGAATAAAGGCCAGTTTATGAAACCATAGTCCAGATCACATACTTTTTAAAAGAAGAGTAGAAATATTGTTATTTCCATACAAAGACCCTACTGTTTAAACAATAACTGTAAGCAGCCCATGGAGTATCTATGGCTGAAAAAATCTTTTTGCTTGCAAAACACGCAAGAAAGTGCCATTTTCTGAACACTTCTTGGCTTCCTATTGCTCTCTAAAAAAAAAATAAGGCTCAGTCAGTGTAGCTACCTGCTCACTTTCTACATATTGGAGTGTTTCCCCCCCCCCTCGATTTCCTGCATCTTTTTTTGGTCTGTACAAAGCACAGTTGGACACTATAGACTCCCATTTTTCTCTTATACTAGGACAGAAAACATCTTTCAAAGATGAGAGTAAAGAACAATGTAAATTGCTTATTCTTTTCTCACCCCTAGAATTTCCCCAAGAACAACCCCTTTTGAAGTTAAATTTTAGAACCCAAATCGACCTCAACTGTCAGCTTGCTCAGCCTCCTCCTGCAGCTGATACCCCATCCTGCAGACCTTGTTCCTGGAATCACAAAGGGTTGGCGATAAGAAGACAGAGGGCTTCTATAATCCCCTTTACTAGGTAAAAGCTCTTAATTAAACCATATCTGAGTTTTCACAGGGAGAAAAAAGAGGAGCCAGCAATAAGAGACAGTACAGGAAAGGGAAATACTCACCCAAACTAAAATGACCAATCCCATAGTCAAAATCTTGTGGTACTTGGATTGTCCTGTAAACAGATCCATGCTATCTGGTTTCTTCTTGAGCAGTCAGGATGAACCAAGGATCCAGATAAAGCATAAAGCAACAAAAATTAACAGACTCGCTCATCATACAGGAAGGCGTTTACTGTGGAAAAGTTCCCACTTCTGTAAACTTCGTCATGAGTCATGCGTACGTGTTCTTTCAACACTATGCAGTCTGTTGCAGCCCTCTGTCTCTCAGGGATCCTCAGAATTCACCCTTTCAAGACCTGATTTTCTACCAGAATCCTGAAGTCTCACATGTGACCTTTGGAACTAACACAGACTCCTGTAAACAGACAGGTTTCCTTTTGGCATGTTAAGGATGCCCCTGGATCTCTGCACTAAGCCTGGTTTACACATCTGAGGAATTAGTACTTTCACAAGTGTTTTATATTTTGTATGTATTAATTTTTAATTTTGGGCAGGATCTCACTAAGTCACAAAATTGCCCAAACTTGGCTCAAATCTGTGGTTTTTCTGCCACAGACTTCCACAGTAGTGGGATTACAGACACTCATCACCCAAGGCAGAAAAATAAGCATTGGAGTAACCAAACTGAAAAATAGAATAAAAGTTTGTCAAAATGATGACCAAAGTGTGTACTTTGAACTTTGAATTTGGTTTAGAGATCCTGAAAACCCTTTTTTCCTGGTTAAAAATGGGCAGTACAAGCCATTATCAGTATTTCCCACCCTTCAGTCATGCCCTCCAAAGTCCACATGATTTTGTAATAAACATGCATAGCCTACATACTTTCTATTTGGTCTCTTTCTTTAAGCTTATTCATGGTATGTCTTAGTTCCTGTTTTGGTTGCTGAGACAAAATACTAACACCGAAAGTTAGAAGTTGAAATGTTTATTTAGCTTGCAGAGGTTTCAGTCCATGATAGGTTGGCTCCAAGGCAGGATGCCTTGGCAGAAGACCATCACAGAGAATAGTTCCTGGTGATCACAAAATAGTAAAAGCAAGAAAGGGACCTCAACAATGTCATTATGTCCTTTATATTTTATCTAAACTACTTAGGGAAGATAGCACACTTAGTGCCTGGAGCCTAGCATAAACTATGAGTCAATCTCACAGTCATACACTCTAGATTCAGCTACCTCTGAAAGAGCTCCACCTACAATCATGTGAGGCTTTGGGAGGGGCATCTAAATACTAGCCATGGTATTCTGCTTCTGGCTTTCCAAACACTCGTGCATATTCCTTTATGCAAAAAGGCATTTAATCCATCTCTAAGATCTACCAAAGTCTGAACAGTTTCAGCATGGTTGAAACGTCCAAGTCCAAAGTCTTACCTGATGTTTAAAGCAAATAGTTAGCTGCAGATCCCTGTACAAATGAAAAGAAAGTTAAACACATTCAACATTCAATGATACAAGATAGGTATTTCCATACATAAAATTGTAAAAAGGGATACAAAGGAATGGGGCCAAAGCAAGTCCAACTTCCAACAGGACAAGCATTAAGTCCTGAAGTTCCATGTGCAGGATCAGAGGTGATCTGTGGCAAGATGAAAATTCCAAAGGGCTTGGGTGGCCCCCCCTGCTACAGTACTTCTGCTAATTATAGCTCCTGTGGCTTCTGTCTTGGCTTGGCTGTGGTCTCTTCTTACAGTTTTCCTCAGATGATACACATTCTTGATATCTCCACACTTCTGGGGTCTCCCTTGCACTTTTGATTTCACACTCACAGCTTTACACACTTCCCTCACAGGGGCACAGTGACTGGCTCCTAGTTAAAAGCCTTCCTGACCCCACAGCTCTTGAATTCTGCATGTGCCTAAAAACAGCACCATTTGGATGATGCCAAGGTTTGCTGCCAGCTGGAGCAGTAGCCAGGTGTAGGAGATGACGTGAGTAACTCCAATTTAATGCACAATAATTCCGTCAGCAAGACTTGCTTCTGCGTACTGATATGTGCAGAGCCAACTGTGCTATTTACTTCTCCCTTCAATTGGCTCTCAGCAGTGTAAATAAGGCTAGCTAAGGCTGTGATTTGTAATGCCAGAAGCAGTGCACAGTTTCCTGTTTCTTCACAGTTTTCCCTATAAATGGTTGAGCACAGCAGGATGGCAGAGCCATATAGTTCCAGGAATGTCAACTGCATTGGAACCACAAGATAAGAAGATAGGACTTCCCAGGTCACAAAAGCTCACATATCAGAAACTGAAGCAACAGTCTCTCAAATCATCCAAATGTTACCTCAATGGAGTTCTGCAGATCAGTCTTCCTGCACACTTTTCCCTATGTATTGCAGAGGCACTTGCTATCCACCTGGCCAGTTCAGCTCACATTTCTCACATAATTCCTGAGTCTCACTCATTCTTGAGCCACTCTCTTCTTGATGAGATAAGTCTTGGATGAGGCCTTGGATCAAGACCTTCTTCCATGTATCCTCACCTGGACTGGACTCAGGACCTTTGTCTGCCCATAACTGACAGACATATGTCTTAATGTGTATTCTCACCATGGGTTGCCCTGGAGATGGTATGCTGGTATTAACTTGACAAAATTCCAATAACATTTTAACAAAATTACAAGTATACAATTCCTTGTGCTGTGAAGATGAGAAAAGGGATTATATTATTTGGATTACAATATGCAATGTTTGGTTTACAATAACCAGGCTTCCTTGTCTCTTGACTGTAGGAGTCAAGTGCCTATGAATAAAATTGTAAAAACAAAGAAGGGAATTTAAAAGAATGCATGTAAAGTATGGGCTCATTTATATAACAAATTACACATTTATTGATGTACTGCAAGACAGGTAGAGGAAAAGATGGTCACCCAAATGTTGAGAATTTAGCCAGGTGGTAAACCCTGAGGCCTCCTCTTCTCGGTCACTGTTCCACCCTTCCTCTTCGCAGGTCCTGTGGCCAGGCCCCAGGCACACTGTGATCACAGTCCCAGGGCACCCGGAGCGTTTAGGTGGGACAGATGAAGGAGAGGAGTAGGTCCACCTCATTGCTGACAATGAGCTTCACTGGGTGGATGTTGTCTGGCAGGGCCAGGCTGGAAGTCATTTCCCAGGCATCCACAAAGGCCACGCGGAGATCAGAAAAGGCAACTCGAAGCAGGCGGTTCACCTGCAGGATGAGCCAGTGACTGCCATACACAGACTTGTAGCCAGTATTTGCCAGTTTGATGACCACAAGAGTACTGGGTGCCCGGGACAGCAGGACCATCACGGCTGCCCGAATCCCTGCCAAACGTCGCACAAATATGGAGGGGGGGAAGGTGGGGAAGTGGGCTCCCAAGCCCAGCACAACCACGGTGTGGGGACCCCCTGCCAGGCCTGTCAGCTCCCTGACCACTGAGTGCAGGGAGGCCCCTTGTGTGCGGAGAGTGCGCAGGGGCCAGCTGTGGGTCCGCCAGTGCAGCACTATGCCCATCGTCGTGTCCACAGCCATCAGGGGCCCCGAGTGATACGTAGCATGGAGATCTATGGGCTTCAGGGCTGTTGGGAGATAAGAGTGGGAATCAGGAGTTAATATTAGGTAATATTTCCTCAATTAAAAATACAAATGCTCTAGCATCTCTTTGTTTGCATAGAATATACTGTGGCCAGCAGATCCTCTCTCTAATGTAGGATATTCTCCATGACCTCCTGGATCTCCAGTGAGAAGGAATTTTCTTGGTCCTCAGCCTCTCAGCCATTAGCATTTTGTCTCATTGATTGTCCTGTAGAAACTCTCCTTTCTTAGTTGTTACTCTTTGCAGTCTGCTGACTGAGCATTCCAACACAGGTTCACCCATTGGCTTCCTTCAGTCACCCACTGGATGGGATACATCCAAGCTAGAAACTCATCATCAAGTTTGTGTTCTTGTGCCATAGTGGTCAGGTTAGGACACTAGTGGCACCTGAGATCCAGCCTGTTCTCTCCCACACTAGAGGAGGCCCCCTCTTTGCACAGAGTTGCTGCATGCATGTCCACCCACGTGTTACAAGGTCATGTTGGCCCCAAGAGGAATGCTATTGATTCATAGCAAGGCTGCATATCATGCAGAGAGGCTCTGATTTTGCCAACCTACTGTCTTGGGCTTCTTTTTATCTTTAGAAACATCTCTTTCTTGGGAAACTAATCCAGTCCATGAGAAGAATTGTTCGAAAGTGACTCTACCAGATTACTCATTTTTTTTTTTCATTGTTTGTTTTTGAGATAGGGCATCACTATGTGGTCCAGACTGGCCTTGAAGTCAGTATGTAGCTCAGGCTGGTCTCAACCTTGCAGCGGTACTCCTGCCTCAGCCTCCCAAGTGCTGGGATTACAAACATGTGCCACCTACTAGCCTGCTTGGCATTGCTTCAATATTGAAATACCAGAGTCTTCCCTTCCTACAAGAAAGAGGAGCTGCATCCACATTGGAAGGCTGGAGGCTTTAGTCCCATGGAAAGAAAGTAGACAACAACGCAATAGCCCAAAATGGGGCAGCTGGTTTCGGGAAAACTCCTGTAAACACACACTGCCACCTCTAGACTGTTTTGTACTGGGAAACCCCCTGACAGGCTGTTTTAACACTTGTAGGTAGGAATGGAGAAGCCTGCTATACTCCCAGCACTCAGGAGGCTGAGGCAGAAGGATTGCTGTAAATGTGAGGCCAATGTGGGCTAAAAAACGAGTTCAAGACCAGCCTGAACTGCATAGTGAGATGCTATCTCAAAAAAGGAGCAGGACAAGCAGTGTGGTAGTGCAGGAGAAAAGTTTCCCCTGTATGAGAATAGACTTACCCTGTGGGGCCCATACACTGCTCTTTCTGTCGGGTGATGGGAGGACAGAGAAGGGAGTTGAGTGCTCGTTTCCTTTCTTGTCTTTCTCATCCTCAGCTCTCAGGTTAGCTCTTTTACCGATAAGACCTCTGCCTTAATCCATGCTATGTCATATTGTGGGATTTGCTCTAAACTCTGCTTTATGAGAGGTAGAAACTCAGTTTGTAGGACGCTCTTGCCACTGTATCTTTTGTTCCCAAAGGAATAAGTATCAAAACTCTGTCTGAAGCTCAACCATCTCATTTCAGCTTCAGTCCCATGTCTTCAAATACCTCCTCCACTGGTTCACTGAGAATCCCTCTCCCACCTCTTGAACCCGGCGGGAGGGTGTGTGAAGTAGATAGACTGTCTTCATGCACTCCTTTGCCCATGCTGCCATCCCAGTACCCCAGTGACACCATTCTGAGCCCACTTTATGGTTGTGCAGCGTCACTCAGTCACCTCCTTTCACTCCAAACCAATCAGTCAGCAGTCACCATTGCTTTCTCCAGCATCTTCCTTCACTCTGGACACTATTTCTTTACCAGTGTAGCCTCACTTTACCATTGTCCTTTCTCTTTCTTTGCAATCTGCCCCCAAACATGAAAATACTACCTTAAACATTAACCTCCAAAGTTTGATTTCTCTGCATTTTCCCTTAAATTCCAACTCCATCTCTCCAGTATCCCCCCAACAAATCCTTGGTTCCAGCCACAGGTGTATACACACCTGCCGTCTCATAATTATGAGCTCCCTAATCTGAAACTTCATGGCTGAGATGATGAGGACTCTGAGCACCATGTTTCCCAGCCTCTCCCTGCCCCAAATCCTGTCACTCTCATGAAAGCCAGTTCTGCCCCATGGATGTAATTTTCTGCCTTCTTTCAGCCCTCGCTCTCCTCTTCCTCTCTGAGTTGTTCTGGTGGGGGACTGGAATACTCGCAGTACTCACAGGGCACGGTATCACGCAGATACTCCCACCACTGCCGAAGCGTGGAGTCCCCCATCATGTGGACGATGCGGCCAGCCAGGCAGCCCACGATGCTGTCTGCTGTGGGGAAGGAGCGGCTGGAGCACGCCAGCGAGTACCAGACATTTCCATGGTAGAAGCCAGAGGGCTTTGGGGCTGGGATCCCAGGGTAGCACGGCTGTTCAGGACGCACAACTGCAACACAGCAATCACTGGGTACATGAGACTGTTTAGTCATGAAATGAGTGCTGCCCTTTCTTCAAGTCCCAGTGCCACTTACCCAGCTTCCTGTTCCTTTTCTTGGATACATGGAATGGGCCAATACCCTGTGGGAGGACCTGGTCTGTCAGGTTCCTAAAGAGAAACCAACCAGAAGTGCGTGAGCAGAAGAACTCAGACTGAGGCAATAGGGGTCTTTGGAAGAAAGGAGGTTCTCAAATTCAAAGGCTTCTTTCCCGTCTACAGAAACCTTGAAGACAGGACTTGGCAGCAGAAGATGAGTTGGGAAGCTACTTAACGTTCCAGCATTTATTTCCTTCATGAGTGCACAAAGCAGAATTGTTTAAAACATATCCAGGAGGCCAAGTGTGTTGGCACACACCTGCAATCCCAGCACTCAGGAGGCTAAAGCAAGGGGACTGTCATGAATTTTAGGCCAGCCTGGGCTACACAGTGGTTCCAGGCCACCATTCACTGCACAGCAAGGACTTAAGTTTTATGCACGTGAGGCAAAGCCAACAGAACAGAAGATAATTCTCATAAAAAGACAGTTGTGACTTGTAGTTCCCAAAAGGAAAGGACACCACATGCCAAACAAGGCAACAGAGGGAAGCACTAGGGACAGAGGATCAGAAGAAAAAGCATGGGCAAAGTCCTTATTGTAGTCCTCATTGTAGTCCTCCCAAAGTTGAAACAGAGGAAACAGCTGAGAAGGTCTTTCTTTTTTTTTTTTTTAATTTAAGGAGAAAAGAAAAAAAAGTGAAAGGGTACAAGTTATACAGATTTACAGAAGAAAAAAATGAACAGTAGGAAATCACTAGTTAATGGATTACATATTGCCTTCTTAAAAATAATTGTTCAAGTCACAAAATTAAAGCTTGTAGAGTGGACATTCCAACAATGATACTGCAAACAGTTCTGTTCAATGATCCAATAAAACTCTGTGATATCATTTTCTATCTTATACACTTAAATATACATGCAGTTATATAGTTTAGAGCACTTTCTTTTCCTCTCTTTTGTACAATGACTATTACACATTTTGGGTTTCATTGCTCCCACGGTTCTTATTGCTTTTTTGGAAGAGAGTAAAACCAAATGAGACATAACAGGACAGAATCGGTCAAGTCAAAAGGGTGGACATAATAGATAATATAAAAACATAATACAAGGTGATCATCAATGGTTACCATAATGCCTCCTGCTATCTCTAATAGAATTGCCTATATCATTAGTTATAATACAATTGAACAAAATAGTAAAGAACAAAACCGAGAAAACCAAAACATTGGAGACATTGTAGGTCTTCAAAAGTAGATAAAAGTCAACGAGAATGGTCAGCTGAGAAGGTCTAAGACTGGCTAGTTTGAATACTTTTAACGGGTTCTGCGCTATAAGTGGTGTCCCTTAGTCACTGGGCATCCAATGGTATTTAAGGCAGAGAGATGTTGTGCAGAGCTGTCAGAACCTGGTAAAAGCAAGTGTGAATAGTATGGACTCAGAATTGGGTGGCACGGAAAAGACATGCTCCAAGGAGTTCACTAACATTGGGAGAGCAGATCGTCCCAAGGCTACAAGGGCCCACAGTTTCAAAGCATTATGAAATATAGAAAACACAGCTGGGTATGGTGACACACACCTTTAATCCAGCACTCGGGAGGCTGAGGCAGGAGGATCATCATTGTGAGTTTGAAGCCTCCTTGGGCTACACAGTTTGTTTAAGGCCAGCTTGAACTTCATAGTGAGGCCCTGTCTCAAAAAATGCAGCAGCAGCAACAACAATAACTCATGAACATGATACAAAAAAGATGCCTGGAGCCTTCTGTGAGAAGTACTAACTCTCCTCACTTTCACTAAGCCCACTCCAGTTGAGTTTCCTGCTCTCCACTTCACTCTCCTGTTGTTGTTTTAAATAATCCTTCCTCTTTATTTGGAGCACATAGAGTCACCCCTCGGTCATGTTCTACAGTTACATTTGTTCCTTTGGTGGTTTCACTGCGTCTCCTGACCTCCACATTTTTCTTCCTAGTTCCGCCTCCTCTGCCTAATTCCAGATTTTTGTATCTGAGTGTCTGCTCAGCATCTCTGCACAATATCTAATACACATGGCCAAGCCTAGACCCCCAGTCTCCACTCCCACCTGCCTTGCCAATATTTTGCCCCATTTTGGCTGATGACAACTCCATCCTTCCAGGTAGACAGATGCAACCATCTGTAAGTCCTAAATCTCTCTCTCTCCCTGTCTCTGAGTCTGTCTCTCTCCTCTTCTTCTTCCTTCTTCCTCCTTCTCTCTCTCTCTTTGACACATTCTACATGTTGTCTCTCAGGTAATTCGGTGGTTTCTGCCTTTAGAATATATATAAAAATGGACCATTTTAGCTATACGTGTGCTACTGCAACTTGAGTCTAAAGCATCTCATTTCTTGCCTAGTTGCTGAGGAACCTCCAAGTTCCAGGTCTGCAGGCTTCCTCCTTAACCTGAACCAGTAACACTCATTCTTAATTTTTCTTCCTTTTTTTTGGTCCCAGTCCCGGGGATTGAACCCAGGGCGTTTATGTGAGCTATGTCTTTGGCCCTTTCAAATTGTCTTTAAATTTTTGAGACACAGTCTCACAAGTCACTGGTTTTCTCAGGCTGATTTGCTCAGAAACTTGCAGTCCGGCTGCCTCAGCCTCTCAGAACACAGGGATTATAGATGTGTACCAGCACACCTGGCTTGTCCTTTATATTTTTAAACTTTCTATGTCATATGTACCTTAGTATTCTGTATAACTTAGAGATTGTTTTTCTTATTTACCATCCCTTCCTCTTGTCATATGAAAAATTAAGAGGTCCACAGAGAATACCTGTCCACCCAGAGCCCTCTAAACCAAATAAGACTGGACAGAGGGTACTTTGAGAAGACCAGTGTGAACAGAGGACCGAGGAAGGACTCCTGAGTTTGAGGTGGTTCCTTTGCAGGGCCGTAGGCGACCGATCCCTTTGCCTCTTACTTTGCCACCGCAGAGTCTTCAGAATTGGGTAACAGTTGACATCAATAAAACAATTGGCTTTCGGATCACAAATTCACGTCCAGTGCATATTCGTCACTCCTGTGGCCATCTGATAACTGCCTATTAGCTGCTACAGAGCTGGGTTGCCTCCCAGCCTTCTCCTAGCCCCCGGGCCTCCAGCACCAAGGACAGCGTCCTGAACAGAGGAGGGTGGTGCTCAAAGGCAACTGGAAAAGCTGACAAAGCTGGCTGCTTACCATTGCATTCTAAGCACTTTACATACCTTAGCTCATTTGTTTCTTACCACAAGGGCTACAACATCAGTATTGTTATCATCTCCTTTACAAAGGAGGGGGAAAGACACTAACATGCAGAAATGTTAATTTACTTAACCTTGAGTAATTAGAGATGATATAAATAGCAACTGACAAACAGTATCAGAGCAGCAAGGCTTCAGACTCAAGCAATCTAGCTTCAGAGATGCTGGACGTTATCCGCACATTGCGTGCTCAGTGTCTCCTGCATTGAGACGAAGGTTTGCCTACTGACCATGGTCAAACATTGCGCATCATCCGTGGGCCATCATGAACACTTGAAGAAAGCAGGGATGCTATTATGTACAGCTAGAGCTTCTCTTCCTTGTCAGTGAGACACAATATGCAACACCCTCAATTTAGAGAAGGAGAGCTTCAGTTGGGCTTACGGTTTCAGCTCTCAGTCAGCTGACTCCAAGGCAGAAAAAGGATGGCAAAGGAGAACAGTGGAAAAATGGTGCTCAGCCCATGGCAGCCAGGGAGCGAGACGGAGAGAAGGAAGGATCTAGGATGAGAACGCACCATTCCAGGTCGCACCCCCAGTGACCCACCCCAATGAGGCCCGATCTGCCAACAGCCCATTCTGCTACTGCACTCAGTGGATGAATCAGAACCCCCATGATCCAATTGCCTTCCAAAGACACAAAGCTTCTGCATCCACTTTCGATCAAAACATAACGCCTGCTATAGGTGCTCAGAAAGTGTTTCATACATACAAAGAGATGAATGATGAGCATAGGAGTTCAGTCAGGATAACCACAGAAGCTGGGGTGGTGGTGCACACCTGTAATCCCAGCACTTGGGGGGCTGAGGCAGGAGGAGCTCTAGGAGTCTGAGACCAGCCTGGGCTGCAAAGTGAGTTCAAGATCAGCCTGAATTGCATAACGAAACCTTGTCTACAAAAGGACCAAAATAATAATATTGATAATGATAATATTATTATTTTTATTATTATTCATGGAGACCATGAGTCAGGGATGGGTTAGGTATTCTGATGATACCAGGTTTCTTTCCTTCTCTTTCCCAGGAAGTGAGTCTCGTTAGTTAAGAATCTGAGAATAAGGAGTGACAAGTTGGTTAATTCATTCATTCTCTTGCCTGAAATCTTCTCCCAGTTAGTCCACTTTCACAATATAAAACAATGTCTATGTATGTGTAGGGATATACCACACAAGCCTCAGGATTTCTGATTTTAGGACACAAGGTGAAAATGTGGAACAGTATTTTCCTGTGGCCTGAGCAATGCTGCTCAGAGTAGTGTGGTTTTAATCCTGCATAAGAGAGGTAACTGTGACTCATAAAAGGCTTTTTGTGTGTGTCTTTGTGACATATTGGGCCCTCTTATGTATACGACTCCACTTGCTGGAAATTAAAGGAAAAACTGTTGGTCATGGTGGAACAAGTCTGTAATTCCAGCATGCTGGAAGGCTGAGGCAGGAGAAGTCAAGTTTCAGCCCAGCATGGGCAACCTAGCAACTTAGCAATACTCTATCTCAAAATAAAAATTTTTTTTTAAAAATTAGGGTTGGGCCAGGGATTTAGCTCAGCGACACAAACACTTGCCTGGCAAGCTTGAAGTGGTGAGTGCAGTCCTTAGAACAACAACAACAACAACAAAAAAAGAGGGTTGTAGTTCAGTGTGAAGACCTTCAATTCAATTCCTTAGTACTCCAATAAATAAATAAACAACCATATGACAATTCTGTACACGTGACATTCTTACCATGCCAGCAGAGCATCTTCGTATGGTGTGGTCACTTTCCAGTATCGTCCAGCTGAATGTCCTACCAGTGAGTCACAGGACAGGGTCTGGGGCTGGGCACAGTACCAGAGTTCACCAGAATCTTCATCCTTGTAGTAACAGATATCCTCTTTCTCCCCAAACAACAAGGGGTTCGTATTGCAAGTCATGTTTTCTTCATATCCTGTGGGTCCCCGGAAATAGCCTGTGAAATCGACTGTGGCCCCTTCTTCTCTCCAGATTCTCCGTAGAACTTCAACTGCCTCACTAGAGTGGATCAGCCGCACTTGCACCTGGGCCATCCCGGCCCAAAGCAGGGGAAAGGACAGGAGGTATATGCCGTTCTCCAGGTCCCGGACATCCCCAAGGACCCCACTATGCAGAGAGGGACCCAGCAGCTGTGCCCTAAACAGATCTCCACCGTGAGTTTTGGGTCTGCCCTCGTGGTCCCTGGCCACAAGGACAGCCTCTAGGTAGCCTCCCAGGGTGTAACTGGTCTGGGTAAGACCCCCCAGGTGGTAGGTGGAGGTCTTGGCACTGGTGGAGGCCAAAATGTCCCTTTTATGTCTCGGAGTCAGAGGCCAATACAAAAGATGAGTCAGGTTGACCAGTGTCCTAGAGAAAAATCCGGAGGATTTGTTTGCAGGACGGGGAGCTGGGGGCAGAGGGGCGGTGCTTTCAGTCCAAGATATTCTGAAGTACAAGATCTGTAGGTAGAGAAAAAGAGCTTGTCAATGGTGTATGTCACTTCATTTTCCTTTTGGGACAGAGATTTCAGTATACGAAGCTTAGCTGTTCAAGCCTGGTGGCCATGGTGCCTTATGCTTCCTTTGACTTAGAGTATGGAGTCTTAGAAGAGAACATACACATCTGTAGACCCCATCCCATGTTTAAAATCATATGTCTGTGAATTTTTCTTAATCTCACAGAAACAACTTCTGGCCCTCGGTAGCTTTTGCCTCACTACTTGCACACATTCCTGCTACCGCCAGAGGGCAGCCTAGGCTGGGATCCAATGCCCAGCCTCCCACTTGCTCAGCCCTTTACAAAGGAAATCCCTTCCCTGCCCTCTCCCCTACCACCTCATCCTAGATTTAGAAGGAGGAGTTGGATACACACAAAAGCGGACAGAGGCCCAATACAAACTTAAAATTTGTTTTGAGACAAGGTCTTTATAAACTGCTAAGTTGTTCCGGTAGGTTTAAATTTGTGATTTTTTTTTACCTCAGCCTCTAGAGTGCTGGAATTACAGCTATGAGATGCCACATATGGTTTGCCCGTTTTCTATTTACATTTCTTTCTTTCCTTTTTTATTGGTACTGGGGATCAAACTCACGAACACGTGCTTGCAAGGCAGACTTATGGCGCTGAGCTAAATCCCCAGCTCCTCAATTTCTTTCTTTTTAAATTTTTATTGGTAAATATTTGCACTAAATAATCACTACATTTATTGTGGAGAATTCGTACATGGACCCAACACATCTCAATTGTTTTTTCTCCTTCCCCTCCTTCTCCATTTTGTCTTTAAAATTTTTTTGGACAGCATCAGATTCATTTCTTTTACGTCTTTATAAAATTAGTTACCAAGCTGGTTGTGGTTGTCCATGTGACCGCAGCACTCAAGAGGCTGAGGCAGGAGGATAATTGCAAATCCAAGACCAGTCTTGGCTACAAAGTCAGTTCAAGGCGAGACTGAACTGCATAGCAATACCTTGTCTCAAAAAGACATGTACGCACACTCACAAATAAAATAAAAACAATAAAGTTAGTTACATAAACACAGATGAAGAGCCAGACTGACAGGCCAAAAAGCATATAAAATATGAGACAATTATACTAAATCACTTTTAGATTGGCCATTGTTATGGTTTGTGTCTAGATGTTCCCCCAAACCTTGAGTGCTTCTAGATGGGGCTCTTGGAGGTGGCTGAGTCTAACGTGTAGGGAGTGTACTGCTTGGTAAGTCCACATCTGGCACAGTTTAGCCCAGTTCTGGTGTGGAAAATGGGAAGGCCCACTCTGGGTGTGGGTGACCCACGCAAAAGGCTGCAGCCTAGATGGGACGGAGGGAAAGGGAGGCTTGCTGCTGTTTCTTTGCTAGTTTTATGCTTTATTCCCTTCTGTCTGCCACACCGTAAATTGCTTCTCTCCTGCCCGCGGTGCTGCCTTGGAGGAAGCCGACTATGGAGAGAAACCTCTACAAACTGTGAGCTGGGCCAGGCGTGGTGGTGCTTGCCTGTCCTCCCAGCACTGGGGAGGCTGGGGCAGGAGGATCATTGCAAGTTCAAGAGCAGCCTGGACTACAAAGTAATCCTGAGACCAGCCTGAACTGCATAGTGAGACCTTGTCTCAAAAAGACAAAAGCAAGCAAACAAACAAAAATCCCTGTGAGCGGAAGCAAATTTTTCTTCCTTTAATTTGCGAATGTTGGGTATTGTGTCTCAGTGATGAGAAAAGAAACTAAGACAGCTATGCTGGATTATAATAACTATTTTCTCTTATCTGTCTTTATTTTGTACTTTTTAAATATCAGGTTTCTTATATGAGAGAAGCCGAGTGATATTTAAACTGTGTGTCTTATTTGCTTCACTTAACATCATGGTCCCAAACTGCACCCATTTTCTTACAAAAGATCCAAGTTTGTCATTCCTTATGCACAGTAATACTCCATTGTGTTTAAGTAAAACATTTTCTTATCCATTGATTTATTGATAGATGTATCGGCTACTAAATTCTGGTGCTGTAAAAACAAGTGTGCACATATCATTGTAATATGATGTCTTTAACTGTTCTGGGAAGATACCTAGAAGGGAAACATCTAGGTCAAATGGCATTTCTATTTTTAGTTTTTTAAGGAATCTCCATATTGATTTCCATAGAGCTTGTACCACTTTACATTGCCACCGATAAGAAGGGTTCCTTTTACCCTGTAGTCTCTCTAGTGTTTGTTTGATTTATCTGATTTCTTGATGATAGTCATTTTTTCTGCAGTGAGATAAAATCTGAATCCTGTTTTAATTTGCATCTCTCAAATGGCCAGTGAAGTTGAAACTTTTTCATATGTTTAGTGGCCATGTATATCTGAAAAGTATCTATTCATGTTAGATGCCCATTTTTTATTGGGTCTTTAAATTGGAGTTCCTAATTGTTTCCCAGTTCGTTATATTTTAAGTATTAGTCTTATGACTGAAGAGTAGCTGACAAAATTTTCTTCTCCATTTTATAGGTGGTCTCTTCATTCTGTTTGTGGTTTTCCTGGCTGCACAGAAGTTTTTTTTAAATTGATGTGATTCAATTTGATTCTTGGTATTATTTCTCATGCAAGCAGAGTTCTGTATGTTCATTCTGTTTCCAAGAGTTTATGCCATCCTAAAGCTTCTTCTTCTGGATTATAAGCAGGAAAAGAAAGAATTTTCCAGACGAAACAAACTAGTTCTTGTGTGTAGACAAAAGTAGGAAGAAGAATACTCACCCAAATTGCAGTGAGGAACCACATAACCACAATCTTGTGCCACTTGACCTGTGTGACAGATGAGTTCTTGGAAGCCTGGAGTTGTTTGTCTGACATCTGGCTTGTGGTCAAGATCCTAGGGAGAGGATTTTTAAAACTAAGGATGAATAATAAATCTTCAACATAGAATTTTGGTATCAATAATGGTGGTATCTGAAACGTTCAATTGCATGATGAAATAATTCAGAGCCATACTCAGAAGTATGATCCAGACTTTGACTGGATAGAGAACACCCAGCCCCTGGTATACCTGGTTAGAGATCTTGATCATTGATTCTGCAAGTTCCTGGGCACCAAAGATCCCTGTGTCTTGAACTCTGGCCTTGGGCACCATCAGCCTCCCCAGAAGGGACAGCTTTCCTCTCCATAGGATGTGACGTTGGCTCCAAATCATATTCTTCCACTTCATTTCAAGCAGCAAGGGCTTGAACAAATGAAGGGGTGGAAGAAAAGGTGGAGTCACTGTGTCCTCTTGGACACTAAGGTCTCTTCCCAGCTCTGTCTTCAAGGACTGTGAGGTACAAGAACACTTCTAGAACCCTCAGTGGCTCAGCAGCTCTTCAACAGTTTACTTCTTATTTATTTATTTATTTATTTTTGGCTTGTTTGTTTCTTGGTTTTGGTATCTGGGATCAAACTCATAACCATGCGCTTGCCAGGCAGGCGCTTGTGCTGCTGAGCTAAGCCCCACCCCTTTACTTATTTATTTATTTACCTTTGCTTTTATAGGTCTTCCTCTAGTAATTTTTCTTTTCTTCTAGTACTTTTTCCAGACTCACATTATTTTCTCCAAGACCATCAATGAGAGCTCATCTCCTAAACTGTTGCTCCTCTGTGAGTTAATGCAATGGAGTGGAGTGAGACCACCCACTCACCTGTAGATGCCGCCACAGAATGCCCTACAGGAGGATAAAAACCTAGCCTGGAAAGGACTGTATCAGCCGCTAGGAGTCAGGAGTGTGTCAAATGCCACTGATTTGAAAGCCAGTTACACAGGAAGTGTTCTCCCAGATCTGAAACTGAAAATGGCTCTAAAGTTTGAACTAGATGTTTAGGGAGAGATACAATCATCACCCAGAGGCCAGATAATATATATAATTTATAATATAGAATTGTTTTGATCTTTTTGAGGCCGAGTTTCACTATGGAGGTCAGGCTGGACTTGAGCTCACTTTGTAGCCCAGGTTGGTCTCAAACTTGCCAGGATCCTCCAGTGCTGGGATTACAGGGGTGCACCACCACGCCCGGAAATCTACTTCTTAAGTAGAATGTGGGCAGGGCATAATGAGATGAGCCTGTAGCTCACCTACTAAGGAAACTGAGGAAGGAGGAATGCTTGGGAGTAGGAGTTTAATGCCAGTCCGGGCAAGATACCAAGATCCTAAGTGAAAAACAAGAAGAAGAAGGAGGAGGAGGAGGAGGAGGAGGAGGAGGAGGAGATGGAGAAGCGGCAGGGGAAGAGGAAGGGGAAGGGGAAGGGGAAGAGGGAGAAGAAGAAGAAGAAGAAGAAGAAGAAGAAGAAGAAGAAGAAGAGGAAGAGGAAGAGGAAGAGGAAGAGGAAGAGGAAGAGGAAGAGGAAGAGGAAGAGGAAGAAGGAGAAGGAGAAGAAGAAGAAGAAGAAGAAGGAGAAGAAGGGGAAGAAGAAGAAGAAGAGGAAGAAGAAGAAGAGGAAGAAGAAGAAGAGGAAGAAGAAGAAGAGGAAGAAGAAGAAGAAGAAGAAGAAGAAGAAGAAGAAGAAGAAGAAGAAGGAGAAGAAGAAGGGGAAGAAGAAGGAGGAGAAGGAGAAGAAGGAGAAGAAAAAGGAAGGTACGGAGAATAAAAGAAAGAAAGAAAGGAAGAAAAGAGAAAGAGCAACCCATTGGCATGGGGTTACAGCTCAGTCAGACATGTTAGCACGATGGGAAAAAAGCAACAGAATGTTTCCTTAGGTCAGTGGATGGGTGCAGAGTCTTAATTGCCTTTACCAGAATTTTACCAAAAAGCTTCATTTTAAGGAGTTTTGTATTTTTCCTTGGTTCCTTAATCTGCCCCCCCCCCCAAACATAGTAAGCAAACACCAACACAGCTACTGGGATAAAAATCACCTTTTAGAAAAAGAAAAATAGGGGCCTGGAAGTTTAGCTCAGTGGCATAAGTGCCTGCCCTGCAAGCAGGCAGTCGTGAGTTCGATCCCCGGTACCAATAAAAAGGAAAAAGACAAAAAAAAAATGCACACAAAATAAAAGAAATAATATGATACTAAAAAGAGCAAAATGGATAAAAGAGAAAACAAACACAAATACGAAGAATTGAGCAAGCTATAAGTTGGTGTTTTATAAACACCAATCAAATGGTTAAACTTTAGTTGCAGTTAATCAAGCATAATCAATACCAGTATTAAAAACAGGTACATCATGCTGTATCTTACAGATACTGAAATGTAATAGGATGATGTTATGAATAACTTCATTTGAAGTTGTAGGTAAAGTGGACAAATGCTTCTAAAATGTCACCTAAGTGAACAAAAGGGAAAGAGAAACCCATATAGTCCTAATATTTTTTAATTAGTCAAATGCATATTTTAAAACCTTCTGCCAACGAAAATGCTAGGCACACATGGCTTCCCATACTGAATCTTGCAAACATTTTTTTATTCTTCCAAACAGTTGAAACCTTACATGAAATATTGAAATTGTTCCTCAGAGTAGAAAAAGAGGGGGTTTTTTCAATTCACTAGAGACCTTGTGGCCTCAATTCTAAAATTTAAAATGAACATTAAAATACAGGAAAATTACAAGCCTACATCTCTCACAGACACAGTTGCAAAATTACTAAAGAGTTAAGGAATAAATTTGAGAGAAAGAAAGAGTTACTGAAGTTACTGAAGTAGTTGTTACTCAATCCTGTTAGAAGTGCAGGATACAGGACTTTTGGTTTCAACTTTGATGCATAAAGAGCCTGGAAACCATCAGGCCCATTCTCACAGCAAGAAAGCTGGGGAAACTACAAACCAGCAGACTTTCTTAGATCCCTCAGAGAACTGAGGCCAAAGTGCAAACAGTCACCTAGAAAATTGTGGAGACAGGCAAATGCAGAGATTGTTGGGATCAGAAGTTGCTGGAGCCAGCACAGGCACACGCATTTAAATCCTAACTGATAAATTACTGGAGGCTAAACCCAAGGTTTAAAACTCCCCGGGGTCCAGTCTCAAGGAGACTCCGACTCTTTTTTTGAGTTTTATTTTCAGAAACCCTACCAAGTTCCCACATACAGGAAAAAACAACAAACCATCCCCCCCAACCCAAAAACTTATGCTTCAGGTGGAAGGAGGGGGCAAAGAACCACTTTGAAATGCAAGGATAGCACTAAGCCCTCCATATCAAACACCTGTCCTTGTGAAACTACTTTGCAGTTTTGCCTAATAGAAAAAGAGTGGTTAAGACATTCTGAGTCCCTTGCCTGTCTCAAATAACAGCAGGCAAAGCCTAAGGTCACAGCCCAGGGCCTCACTCCCACTTTTTTCTGTTAGTGAGTCTTTATAGTTACAGAGTTCAGATTATAGATTTATTTCCCATTACCCACATGTTGATACCACATCAACAGGGCTCTGTAGATCTCAACTCTGCTTCTTTCTCCCCTTGTTCTAGAAGGTCCCCAAAGTCCTGTTTGCTGTCTTCAGAGCAACTCACGAGGCAGTGTCCTGCTGCTGTTTCAACTGCTGCCAAAGCATGGCATCTCCAAACTTGCGAATGACGTGGACAGCTGGGCAGCCACGGGAGGAAAGACAAAAGCACACTTCTCAGCAGAATAAGTTTAGAGACTGGGAATACAACAGCAAATAAGGAGCCGGGGGTGGGCAGGAGGAGTTCACTCACTGTAGAACACTGTGCTCCAGACCTCCAGGGAAAGCATAATAGCTCCCCCCTCACCAGGAAGTCTTTTCTACTGGAGTCAACAGAACAAAGCAGTGCCCTGGGGAGAATGGTTTGTGACTGAAAGATCAGAAAGAGAACACTGAGGAGCCCTGTAAGCAGCAAGTCAGGAAGATTTCTACCCCTGGGGCTGTGGAGGTAAAGTAAGGTTAAAAAGATTTGAATTTATAATCTTAGAAGAGCAGTATCCTGCAGATAGGTCTCAGTTTTTGTTACCTTCGTGTTGTGGTTCTAAGGATTGCATTCAGGACCATCTTAACTGAGCTTTTAAATTTATTATTTACTTATTTTCTGAAACAAGGTCTCACGATGTAGCCCAAAATGGCCTTGAACTCACGATGTTCTTTCTGTCCCAGTCTCCCAACTGCTGGGATGACAGGCATTGTAAACCACACCAGCTTTATTTTTTTGGAAACAGAGCATCCATAAGTTTCTAATTGCCTAGCCTGGTGTGAATTTGAGATCCTCTTCTCTTAGGCTTTCAGAGCTGCAGTTATGGATGTGTACACCTGATTACATATTTGTTGCTTGAGCCACCCAGTTTATAGTGTTTTTTTATGGCAACCTGAGCAAATTAATATAACTTTGTTCTGCAAAAATATTTCTGCAGTGCATAGAGCTTTGCAGGTAAACATTCTATTTCCTTGTGGCCTCTTCAACTATTTGAGATATCAGCTGTCAGGGAACTCATTCCTTTGGAAGAAGCTTGACTCTTTCTGCTTACCTGTTTTTTAAAATCTTTAAAAAATGAAATATTTAGATCTTAACTATTTTGCTAAGTTTTCTGGGAATTCCTCCAGTTTTTCAACCTAAGCTTAAGTGTCTAGCAGCTGAGGACATAACTCAGGAATCCAGAGCAGGTCCTTAGTGTGCACAGGCCTTGGGTTCAGTACCCAGCACAGAGACAGACAGACAGACAGACAGAGACAGACTGAGACATGTTGCAGGCAGCCAAGTAGGTTAGAAATGTTACAGTCAGTGAGACAAGGCTAGGTCCTCTAAGAGCCAGTGTAAGAGCCCAGATAGTTTGCAACTGAGGAAGAGAAAGACACCTCTTGCAGTGGGCCAGGCCTCGAGACAAAGGATCAAACAAATGCATCTACATTCTAAAGACTGGTATTCTAATTAGGTCCTTATCACCTTAGAGTCACTGTCCCATCCTTCTGGGGGAAATGTCACAGCTCCAAGAATGCCCACTTCCTATGTGACTTGCTTTCCCATTTGCCCCTAATACAATCAATTTTACCTGAACCATTGATCTTACTGGCTAAATATAGTTATGCCCCACCTTCTGCCTATCTGCTTTCTGATTTCCCAGTCTTCTCCTGCCTTAAACCCATAGTTTTACTCTATCAAAGTCCCTAGAAAAGACAGACCCCTGGGCAACACACTTGGATCCCCTTCTGTCTCTCTGTCTCTCTCTGACAGAAGCTTTCTTTCTCTCAATAAATATATTCTACTCTTCATCTCTGTTGTTCCTAAGATTCATTCTTTGATTTTAGAGAACACGAGCTCATGGACATAGTAGGTTGGGAGTTTCATTCCCCTATATCATTTGGAGGTCCCACTGAGATCACTGGACAGAGGTAAGAGTATGCTTTTTCTTCATAGACTCTGGGCTGGCATTCATTTAGGTAACAAATTTTTATGCTTAAAATTTTGCCTTGTCTTTACCAGTTGTTTATAACTGCTTGTGATAATTGCTTAATATTTCCCCATTGTTTTTAATTGCTTTTGAAAGAGTTTTGGCCCAGACAGGACACTGTAGCTGGTAAAGCCTTAGGCAGAACCAAGGAGCTCCATCTCCCCCACCCCTAGGAATTTACCTGTGACTCCATCTTCCACACCCTTAAGAATTTACCCGTTGAAAGTGTTTTGGCCCAGACAGTACACTCTAGGTGGTAAAGCCTCAGGCAGAACCAAGGAGCTCCATCTCCCCCACCCCTAGGAATTTACCTGTGGTGCCAAAAGAATACCAGTGGGCTACCTGTGCATCACTAATGCCCCTTAGGTTCCAAACCTAGAATACTTATATGCCCCCACTCCACGTGTTCCACGGAGAGATCACTGACCCCAGGGGGAGATGCCATGCCCCAGGGGTTTGGGGGTGTCTCTCCCCATATTCTCAAAATAAAGGTCATTTATATTTCATACTTCTTATCTTTTCAGCCGCTGCTGGTCCCCCACAGTTCTATCATATGGTTCCCTGACTAGGAATGGCAGACAAGAGACTCCTGGGGCTTTCTCAGTTTGAGTCCCCTGCCGTTCAGGACCAGGACCAGACTACATCCTGCATTAATTCGTCACTTCTACACTCGGGAGCTGTAAACTTGTCGACACTGGCTCACAAACAACACTGACCCAATTTACCACAGGTGAGCAACCCCCAGAGATTGCCGCTGGGCCAGGCCCCAGGCGGGTTTTCTCCCCCTTTCAGTGGGTTCTCGTGAAGCTCTCACGTCCTTAGATAGCCCAAGGGAGAGTTTTCCTGGGCCAACCTGTGCCCACACTGAGAGACTCTCACGTCCTTCAGAGCTTTTTAAGTTCTCACGATCAGAGCTATTACTAAACCCCACGAGAAATCCACTCGTATATTGGTGACGGCCAATTATTATGAGCTTTGGAGCCATATGATACCCATCGGTCTAAAGTAAAAAGTGATGACTTACACTTAGTAGACCATGGTCCATTGCCTCATCTGGCTATAACTTCATGGGCCAGACCTCACACAAGATTTTATCCTAGGGACCACTTCCTGTCCCCTCCCCCCAAAAAACCCATACCTATCTATGGCTTATCACACTACGGACAAGTTTACAAAAGTCTATCTTTAAACCTTTGTTTTGAGAATGTGTGTCCTTTTCCTGCCAGCGTCCCTTTGTTTCCTCGCCACTTTCCCTTCCCCTGCTGTGTGCTGACCCATTCCCTGCAGAGATGGGAGGTACACCCAAGCAGTGTTGAAAAATATGTGTGGGCTGCTTTGAGCTCTCACGCGCGGTCCAGCACGGACATTGTTGGGAGATACGGCTGCTTTGGACTTGTGTGCCACGTCCCAACTCCGCGATGTGTTTCGGCTCTCGGGCCATGCTCTGGGTCTGCGTGAGTCTGGCTCTGGTGCTGCACCCTGGTCCATGCTTCCCGCAAGCGGTTCCTCCATGTGGCGGCTTGGCTCTGGGTGGTCCGGCTGTCTGCCTTGCCATGAGCATCCCCAGGAGTCGCAGCATGCAGGATCCCATCACATTGCATCCCAGCTCCGCCTCCCAGCACGCTGCTGCCGCCTCACCGCCACTGCGCCACTGCCCCGCCCCCCCCGCCCCCCCCCGCCCTTGCACACATTTCTGGGGGGCAGTCCCAGTCCACCCTGCGTGCTATGTCCTGGCACTCGCCCTGCCTTCACTCTGTGTGCCCTGCCTCCACCCTTGGTGCACCCCGCCCAGCCTCAGATTTCTGTCCTGCCTTAGGCATTGCGCATCTCCCAAACAAGCGCCTCCCAAACAAAGTACCACTTTAAACACAAACACAGATAAACAGCAGTTCAGTGGCTGGGCTCAGAGATGCTATTTTTTTACATTCTCAAACCATTTAATCAAGGTTAAATAAGCTGGCAATAAGCAAGACTTTGACTGATAAACGGGAAAGTGGCCACCTGGTAATTTTATCAGCCTTGTTTATCAATTAAAGCCTTCAGTAATCTCCTAAATGTTTAGCAACTAAAATTAAGAGGTACTTATGAATTCCTCTTGTTGTAAACCACCAGTGATGCTCTATTTTAAGCTTACTGCCTATATTGCACTGTATTGTCACCGATCTCCTAAATGTTTAACAACTAAAATTAAAAAATAATTATAAATTCCTTCTGATGGGAACCAGTAGCTCTTTTCCAATACAAGTGTTTTATGATATATGCAAAACAGCAAAACCAATACTGAGGCAGAAGCCAAGCTTAAACCTTTCCCAGCCTATCTGGCTGCCCTGGCTCAGCCCTCCACCGAGCCATAATTAACTATATTCAACTGATTTTTTTTTATTTAAAGAGAAAAGAAACAAAGGAAATAAAATTTAAAAAACAAAGCAGTAAAAGGGTACAAATAATACAGAATTTCAAGGAAAAAATATAGTAAGATATCACTAGTTAATAGGTTACAAATTGTCATCTTTGAAATAGTTGTCCAAATTATAAAATTAAAGCATGTAAAGTGAACATTCATACAATGAGATTCCACACAGTACCAATCAATGATCCAACAAAAGTTCAGTAATATGTATTTTCATCCTACATACTCGAACGTAAATGCAGTTATATCCCTTAGACCACCTTCCATTCCTCTCTTTTTAATAACAATTACCCTTTTTGGGTTTTTTTTTTTACTTCCACAATTCATATTATTTTTTTGGAGAGAATAAAACCTAACGTGGCTAAACAAAACAGAGTCGGTTAGAACAAAAGGATGGGCATAGTACATGATGTAAAAATAGAGTATCAGGTGATCTAAAATGGTTACCATTGTGCCTCTTGCTATTTTTATAAAAGTTGCCTATATAATCAAGTATAATAGAATTGATCAAAACAGTACAGAACAAAATCAATAAAACCTACACTGGAGACCTTACAGGATTTCAAAAGAAGATAATAGTCAAACCATAATGGGCATCTTAGTGAATCTTATTGCCTTCAAAGTGGTTGCCTATACCCTCAACTTGATACTATCAAACAAAATAGAATATAGTAAAATCTGACAGAACAAGATGGGGACAGCAGTACTGGGATCATATCAGGTTAACAGGAAAACAAAAAGTTACTATAATATATCCCACTGTTTTTTAATTTAGTTTTCCCTTAATTGAAAACAAATGTAAGAAAAAAATAATTTTAAATAAGGGTGGGATTGAGGTAAAAGAGGACATTGTATTAGAACAACACAGATCAGAACTGAACAATTTAAGCATCATTGTGTTTCACCCCCAGATAATCTAACATAATAGTAGTCACCATAGTGCCTCCTTCCTTGAATTATTTGAGTATAACTTCATATACTATAGCATCAAGCATATCAAGCAGCCTGAAGCTATTCAAGAGAATGAAGAAATTACAAAGAATTTAGAATCAGTTAACAGAAAATGAACAATGGTTTCTATAATATCTCTTTGCCTATAAAAAATTTTGTTTATTCTATCACATATAGTAAAATATAGTAGGATACCACATGTTAAAACCAGTGGAAATAGGTATACAACAGATTGACGTGACTTCACAACAAGATGATATTAAATCAGCACTAGCTTTTATGATGTGTTGTTTTCTTCAGAATAGCTATTCGTACTATCACTGATACTAAAATCAAACAACCCAGGTTAAAACCATTGTAATTAATGAGTGATAACATTATGTGGATTAAAACCAATATGATTGGGAATCATGATTACCATATACTTTTATGTATTCTTATCATTTCTTACACTAGGGAAACTATTTGGTATTTATACATGTGAGTTTGATTTATTTCACTTATGAGTATGGTCTCAAACTGCATACATTTATTTATAAATATTTCAATGTGACCATTCTTTATAGCTGAATAGTACTCCATTGTGTAAAAAGACCACAACTTTTTTATCCATTCCTCAGTTGATGGACACTTAGATTGTTTCCAAGATCTGGCTATTACAAATTGTGCTGCTATAAACATGGGTGCACATATATCACTGTGGTATGATGCTTTCAGTTCTTCTGGGAATATGCCTAGAAGTGGAATAGCTGGGTCAAATGGGGCTTCCAGTCTCAGCTATTTGAGAAATCTCCAGACTGACCTCCACAATGGTTGTACTAGTCTACACTCCCACCAACAGTGTAGGAGAGTTTCTTTTTTCCCCACAGCCTCTCCAGCATTTGTTGTTGTTGATTTTCTTGATCTTGGCCATTCTTTTAGGAGTGAGATGAAATCTCAGTGTGGTTTTAATTTGCATGTCTCTAATGACCAGTGACGGTGACATTTTTTCATGTATTTATTTGCCGTTTGAATTTCTTCATCTGAAAATTGTTTATTCATCTTAGATGCCCATTTTTGGATTGGGTCTTTGAATTTTGGGGGTCTGATTTTTTAAAATTCTTTATATGTTTTAGACAGAAGTCCTTTGTCTGAGGAGCAGTTCACTAAGATTTTTTTTTCCAGTTTGCGGGTTTTCTTTTCACTATGTTGGAGATTTCTTTTGACGTGCAGAAACTTTTTAATAAGAGGCAATCCCAGTTATTGACTCTGGGAAGTATTTACTGTGCGGTTTGAGTCCTGTTCATGAATTCTTTACCTACTCCTATGACATTAAGGTTTTTATCCAAATTGTCTTCCAATAGATTTAGTGTTTCTGTTTTAATATTAAGATGTTTGATCCATTAAATTTTATTTTAGTACATGGTGATAGGCATGGGTCTAGTTTTAGTTTTCGGCATATGGAGAGCCAGTTTTTCCAACATCATTTATTAAAGAGACTGTCATTCTTTCCAGTGAAAATGTTTGGCCCCTTTATCAAAGATAAGGTGTTTGAGTGTGTTTGTAGTTGTGGTTGTATCTTTTTTTTTTTTTATTTAAAGAAAAGGAAACGAAAAAAAAATACATGGAGATTAAAAAAAAAGGGTAGAAATAATACTAAATTACAGACAAACAAAAGGTAAGAAATTGCCAGTTGATAAGTTACAAATTGTCATCTTCGAAATGGCTGTTCAGGTTATAGAATTAAAGTATTTAGAATGACATTCAAAAAAGTGACCCTACAAACCATTCTGCTCTATGGTCGAACAAAAGCTCCGTAATATGATTATCAGTCCCACCTATTTGTTTTACATCTCTAAGAGGATAAGGTTAACCACATCAAAACAGAACAGAACATTTAAAAAAAAATAAAAAACAATTTAAAGAAATACAGATTTCAAAGCAAGTCCACTGGAGATCTACCTTATCTAACTGTCTCTAGCTTCTTACAAATAGTTGTCCCTAACTTCACCCACTTTCTATACTTATTGCATATTATAGAACTAATCAAATCATTACAGGATGATGGAGTCTTTTTGGGTCCTCAAGTTCCAAATTAGGGAAGACAATACCAACTACCATCGCATCTCTCATTCTCTTTGTGATAGCCATCCCCATCTCTGCATATGCTGAAGTTGAGCTGAAGAAACCAGAGTCATTTTAATCAGCAAGCAATAGATTGCTAGAATTTATATTATACTGCTACAAAATAAGCCTCGGGTTTTTCAGGTCTCTTCCTCAGAGTATTTGTTCCTATCCTCTCTGTATTATAGGGAAAACCAAGTCATAACAAGACAGCGAAACAATTTCCTAGATAAACATGCAATGGATAAGACTTATAAAACTATAATATAAATGATCTTCCGTAGCTACTATGTTTTCTCTTGTTATTTTCAATAGATTTGTCGACAACACTGGCTTATTATAGTTAAACATACTATCACCTATTTTTATAAAAACTTATCTTTGACTGCATTGTAGTATTTGAGAGCTGTTACTGATTCATACCAGTATGGATATCCTTTACATCTTGTCATGCTCAGAGTAGTTTCCTCTACTTTTAGGGTTGATTCTAACACGCATACCGATTTCAAATAGGATCAGTCAAGGCCAACCAATAGTCTTATGATTCAGATACAATTAAGATCAGTCATAGTAAGACAATGTAAGTAATACAGGATTTCAGCCTAAGTCAATAGGAAAGTAAGGATAGTTACCATGGTATAACCTGCTATTTTTGGTTCTAGAGGTCTGTGTCCTCAAATCTGATATGAGTGGACAGACCAGAACAAATTTAATTCAATCTAAATATGGCACTAGGACTACTGTGTCTTTTAAATCGTTATACACCATTAGCAATGACCTCTGCTTTTTTTTAAAATATAGTTTCAGAGCTGTCTCTACTAAAGACTAGCTTACCTTCTCTGCCTCATGTCTGCTACTCCACTTTTCTGCTATAATTTGTCCACCTTATTCCCTCATTCCATGGTCTGCCCCGTTCACTGAGGCCTCTCTGCCACTGTAGCTGGAATCCTGATATCTCTTCCTCTCTTTCTCTGTAATGTCCTTCAGCGCTCTCTGTAGGGTTGGATTGGTGGCCACGAACTCCCACAGTTCCTCCTTGTCTTGAAAGTATCTTATTTCTTCATTAATTTTTAGAGAGAGTTTTGACGGATATATGAACTTAGGTTGCATATTTTTTTCCTTCAGGACTTGGAATAT